TAATAGTATTTATGACCACTTATAATCCTAAAAAATACCAGGTGAGTAGGAATTATTTACGGTTATAAAGTGGTCTTAATATCGTAAAATTATAACTTATGAGTAACATTACCCATTAAGTAAAAATTCTGATGTTAAAATTACCGTTAAATTTTCCTTGAGGTGAAATACACTTATAAGTAATTTTCTTTCGTAAAAATTACGTCCCTCATAATACTTTAAAGTGTTGAAACTTAAGGGTTGTTAAAATAGGTAAAAATAACATAAATAAAACCTATTAAATAACTTTAAAAAAAGTTTTACTTTAAAGTAAATTTTTAAGGTTAATTTAACAAAATATTTACTTAAATTAAGTAATATTGCCTCAAAGCTCTACGCTTTTACTTAAAATGCTGCAACAATTGTTACAGAATACCTATATAGGTATATAGTATATACTATTAAATGTCTTTTCAACAACAATTATGTTAAAACTGTCAAAAATACCAATTGTTGAAACTTCTAACGTAAAACTCATTGTGACGTTTATCTCGAAGAGAAATCATGCAGCATAAAAACTTGCCACTCATTAAGACCATCATGAGACATCTCTCTTCGAAAGTAAAAACCATGGGGGACCCGATAGAGCACGCCACAGGGATTGAGAAGCGCGAGATGCTGGCGAAAATGGCGGGCAACGAGAACCCGTTCGACGTAAAGGTGCTGAAACGCGGGGCAGGGACGCGGGACTGTCCCAACGAGGTCCCATCCGCCTTTAATTCCCGCATGATGGGTTGCATATGCGAGGAGGAGTCGGTCAGCATCACCTGGATGTGGCTGCACGAAGACGAGCCCAAGAGATGCGAATGCGGACACTGGTTCTGCCTGGTGCACAAGCCGCCGGTTTGAAGTCGCACACGTAATTGTTGCCGTTTCTTTTGTTTTCCACATTTATCCGTTTTGTTAAGCTTGAATAAAATTCTTTGGGTTGCGATTTTTTATTGCGTCATTTTTACAATTGGTTATATCTATCTAAATAAAAATGCTTCAATGTTTAAAAAATGATATTTCGATAAAAAAAATTTGAATCAAATGTACAGGGTGTTAAGAAATTAAGAAAACATAAAAATGCTTTAAGAGAGAAGTACCTTTGTTTATTATTTTATAGAACAATTTTATAAGGGTGAATATATTGAGATGTTCCCCAAGTGAAAATAAATATTTTTTATTTTTGGTGGTTTCACTGTTAGTCTAGAATGGGGTTTTTGGGAAGCCACCAGGTCTAGTAATAACATAACATAAGTGGTTCTGCACTATAGTGCATTGTAATTAGGGTTGGGAAAATTTCACTTTTTGCTTGTACTTGAAATTTCACTTGAAATTTTCATGACATTTATGAAATTTATTGAAACTTTCAATAAATTTCAATCACTTTAAGTGTAATATATTAATATTGAAATAAGCCCATTCGGGGACCATGGCAAATTGCCTCTCTTACCTCCTACCCCTCTGTGGGCCCCTGCACCAATAATATAAATAGGAAATACCTATGTTTACCACACATTTCTTGAGATTTCCTTAAAATATTTTTAAAATTACTAAAACTAAAAGAGATAAAGCACTTTTTGGTAAGCTAATGAGATTGTGCCACTTTCATTGTTTTATATTTATATATATTTATTATTTTTAAATATTTTACTGAAATTTTACGAAAATTTAAGAAACTTTATGAAAATTGTATGAGCCAAAGGCATTTTTTATCCGTTTTCCGATGCAATTATAGCAAAAGTAAAAGTTTAAATTAATCATGACTTTTAAAAAAATTAAAAAAAAAATTTATGCGAAACTTTCAATGAAATTTCTAAAACTTTCACAGGCAATGATGAAATTTTCGGATTGAAAATTTCATTTGAAATTTTTAAAAATTTCACTTTTCCAACTAAATGAAATATTTTAAGTTTGAAACTTTCAAAGTTGAAATTTTCATTTGAAAACTTCAACTGTCCCAACCCCTTATTGTAATACAAGAATTTTAAGAAATCATACATTTTGAATATTAGTGCTTCACGGAAGATAGCTTCACGGAGGTTAGGATTTCGTATGTTTTTTTATATATTTGAAATAAGTTATTGTATCTTTTGACACCTTAATATTTAAAAAAAATACAATTGTACATACATAAAATATTTATTAAAAAAATCTACTTACTGAGATATTACACTTCACGGTGGATAGGTTTGTAAATAGCAAATTAATGAACTTAAACTTTTGAATTATAAAACAGCAACACTCTCATCTGCATATAAATTCTAACTGACCTTCAGGAATCACATGCATCTATTATATCGTAAACAGAGGTTTTTGCTTATTTAAAATTATTGCCATCCGTTGCATAAAATTTAAAGCAAAAACAGATTCACGGAGGATAGACTCAATTTTTGTAACACCTACATAAATGGTTATAAAAATTATTTCTTTTAATTTTTAATAATATTTTATATTTTATTCGATTGCTTTGGATTTGTTTAATTTACTTAGTGAACTGATATTTTAGTATACATGAGTTTGACCTACACTTTTATTGTATCTTTCATAATTAAGTAGATATTACAGCTCAGGTTCCAGATTTTTAACCGCAATTAATTATTTTTTACAATGTTTTAAAAGTCTAAAACCTATCTTCCGTGACTGTTACTCTTTCTAGGTTAACCTATATGTTTTCAAATATCTCTTGAATCGATTTCATTTTTTTCTTATTCTTGAAACACTGTAGATAAAATCTCTAATTTTTTAGGTCAATGTTATTTTTTCGACTATCAAAACTTTTTATTAAATAATATATAAATAAAAAAATATAAATAAACTCGACCCTGGAAAAAACAAAGAAATATCGAGTTTATAATTTCCGTCTTAATTTTTGTATTCAGACTTTGTTTTTAATTACAAACAACTTTTTCCTATATAAATTTTCAACAAAACTTTAAATTAAAAGTAGCCTCTTAAATCGATTGCATGTTTTTCTTATTTTTGAATACTCTGTAGAAAAAATCTCTAATTTTTAAGGTCAATGTTTTTTACGTCCAAAACTTTTTATCAGAAATGACTTTTCTTCGAAAAAACAAAAATAGGGGAAATACCTACTGCATATATATTTTTTTATTATAAATCGAATTATTTTATAATTATATTTATAAAGTAGGAACAATTATTGTTTATTTGTTTATGTACGTAGGTGATCTCACAAAACACCTTTTAATAATTTATTCCAATAAGGCAACATTAAATAGGTACATGTTGCCAATGCACAATTCATTACAATGAATAATAATGGTTATTATTTAGTTGGCACCATATAGGCTTTCTAACCTTTTGCGGAACAACTAAATTTGGTAACCTAAAAACCGCCGCAAACCGCACGATTTTCATTTTCGTGCACACACATTTATTTAATAATGTTTTATTATTTTTGTTTTTGTTCGACATCAAGATTTTTTTCCGTTATAAACTTGAAAATCTCTGTACCAAAACATTAACAAGCCAGCTATGAAAACATTAACCTAATTAATTTTGACATAATGCTAACATTTTAAATTTTGTTGACTTTAAGACTTTTGGAGATTCCACTTATAGCACCTTTTTTGTGGAAGATTCAATATTCTACAAAAAATGTAATATCCTTTTTTCTCTAAATTCAATCGTTTACGCGTTAACAGCAAAAGAAAATTTTCTTTTAAAAGCAAGATTAACATGCTAAAGCACATTTCACTTTTTACTTTATTTACATAACACTGCACTTTGCAAATAAGTGCAATGTTTATATGCATTTTGTGTCGCCACGCTATTTCCTAATAATATGTTTAAACGACAGTGGACATACGACCATCTGGTGCTAATTCTAAATGACGTAACAATTATTGTAATCGCCTTTTTTAGAAGGTCACTGGTTATATTATAAATCTGTGTCATTGTTGTTTTTTTATTGAAAACAAGTCGCGAATTTAAATTTTAAATTAAAAAGTAAAAAACTCGACAATTATTAAAATAATTATCTAATTATTATATTAACGTTTTTTTAATATTCAAAAAATGTAAATTTAAACACAATACGACAAAAAAATATAAACTAAATGTTTCTTTACATTATTAAAACTATAAAAACCCATTATGTAAAGTAAGTATTTTTTCTTGTTAATTGCTTGTATGTATTCGGTTTTTAACTAACTTTCTATTTTAGTGTCATGTAATAACAAATAAAAAATGCCTAAACCATATAACCGGTTTTCATAACCTATTGTTTACTTTATTTGTTTAAAATATATCATAGATTAACAAAGAATATTTTTTCCTATACTACTTTGATTTCTACATAAAAAATTAGCAAAAAATATTAAAAAAATCAATAGGCACTTAAAACCCTGTATCTCGAAAACTAAACAAAATTGAAAGCTTATTTATTTCTTCAAATTTAAAATCCAATATACCTATTATGCATAAATTATGCTTCAAAAATTATGAATCATAATATGTATATTTTTTAAATAAATATTTTCAAATTAAAAATATTTATTTAAAAAGGTGTTTATCTCGATGAGATAGATGTCTATGTCTATGTCTATTTTGAGTAGAAACACCATGTATTATATACTATAATATTTATATTATTTATTTATTATTATATAAATAGGTACCTAATTAATAGAATATTTTCATTTGAATTTACAGCTTTCCTTATTTGGTTACATTTTTTTTACCTCAGTTAGAAGGTATAATAACTTAAATAATTATTATAAATCATTTAAATTTAAACGACATATTTAACTTTACAACTTTCTAAAAGACCAACTTTTAATATTTATTAGTTGCAAAATAGGTAAGAAACGCATAACGCAACCCGTATTTCGTCCACGAGTAATCTAGGTTGCCTACACTCCTTAAAAACACGAGAGCGCAGCCGCGGTGAAATTTAGAAGAACTGTCAAAAATGTCTTAGAACTGCCTAAAACTGTATTTTGTTGTTGCAGGAAACATGGAACTGGTGTAATTTCAGCAAAAATCCTTATAAAAATGGCTCGAAGAGTCGGCAAAAATCACTATGTAGCGTCACCACGTCACCATCATTCCCCCACCCCTGTGCACGTGACCAGAAGCACGGCCTATTCTGATGGAGAAGAAAGTCAAAGGGCCCCCTCGGAAAGAACCTTGTCCGAATATACCTCAGTGGTAAGTTGGCAACACTGAGTCCTCAAAATTAATGAAATTAATGCTTTTTGCCTTTTATTTAAAATAACTCGCTTAATCTATAGGTTTAAACCATTTTTTTTAACTTAGGGAAAGTACTTAAGTACTTTCCCTAAGTTAAAAATAATTATAAATAGGTTATTATCGGAACCCACGTTTTACTTACTTCCCATAAATAATTTGGATTGAAATCTAAGAAAATAAAAGCTGCAATCACGTTCTTGATTTTCTTCTTAAAAGGAATAATTGACTCGTTACAAATGATTTTTTATTGCCTAGTTGAGATTTTTCGGAATGAAGATTCAATAAATTAAATTTACGGCTGATTGCGAAGTCACGCACAGCCTTGGCCCACAATTATACCAAATGCATAATTATTTCAGCCATATTCTACTATTAACATTATTATTCAGTTTTATTATTAATATTTTAATTAAATTAACTTTTTTAGCCATATAGGATAGTAAACGAAAGAAACGGACGAAATCACCATAGCAATGGCCACCACAACCCGCCTCGTGCCGCCTCTGCTTTAAGCAGGGGCAGCGGTTACGACAATGGGTCGGATATTTACGTTACCAGTGGCGCGTATAAGGCCCCTTCGGAATTAAGGTAAATATTTAAAACGCAAATAAACCAAAAACTCTCAAATACTATCAACAAAGTTCCTAAACAAATTAAAACGTTGCCTTTAAGTGGGTATCTGGTAAAATATTTTTTCCAATTATTATTAAGGAGATTCATTAAGTAACAATGTATAAAATGTGTTAAAACTTCATCCTACTTAAAGTCCTTGTAAATCGAACACGCCCACCTGTGTTTTATTAGGAAATTAACCTTTTACTTTCAATATAATCCAAATACTTACATTTATTACCTATTATGAACCGTATTTTTTTTAATATTTACACAACAATAACTAAAGAAATACACGCGTAAATAAAAATTTCGCAATAAGTCACTTTGACAGTTTTATACGAAGTACCAACTTAAAAGTATTAGATATTAATGGCCTTTATGGATGTCGGAAGCAAATATAATATTCTCATACAAAAAAATATATAATGGTGTACACCTTTGAAATTAATAGAAAGTGAACACGTTAAAGAAATTTTTTCACACTTGATTTCAATGCGGTATTCAGGATTATGCAAATTTTAATTGGATAATGTGGCCATTGAAAAATCGTACGAATTTTATTAACTATGGATAGTTGGGGACACTGAACTTTTCTGTTGTGTGAGCTGACTGATTTTTTAATTTAGAATGGTCACAATTTAATGGTTATAAGCAGAGATAAGTTATAAGTTATAAAAATTCACGGTCAACTTCTTGTAAAATTAAAAATGTTTTTCTCACCATTTATCAACCTTCTTAAAATATTGGATTTTAAACAAATAAAAGGACATCCTTCAATAAAATCTTCCTATAGCCCATTAAATAACTGAGAACGATCCGTAAAAAACTAAATAAATTTCTTTTAGTCGTGGTTCGAGGGCCAGGGCCCCCAGTCACTACTCGTACAGGAGCGGGGTGGCCCCTTCGGTTGCCAGCACTGCAAGAACAAAAACCTCCCGTAAAGGAGGCGTCACCGTGGAAACAATGGCGGCCCCTAACCCCTTTTGCCCGAACATAAAGGGCATGTGTTGCCTCATGCTTTTGCTGAATTTGGGCATCATATTGGTGACACTCGGGTTCGTCATTGTCATACAATTCTACGAACCTTTTTACGTATGGTATGTATAGTTCGTTCACAATGTTTTTTTTGCGGTAAATATCTCGGGTGTTTATAGGGATATAAGTTTAAAACTTGGTGTGAAGTTAAAGAACATTACTAAGAAAACCGTGATAAATTTTCAAATAATTATCTTTAAAAAGACCGGAGATATAGGCAAAATAAAAAAATCCCAACATTTTTCAGTCGGTGAATGTGCTATATGGTAAATATTTTTAGGATTTTGGGTATAATTTTCTTGATTTTCGGCTTTTTAACGCTGATAGGCAGTATAATATACTGCGTGGTCATATGCAGGGACTTTAAATCGCCCAGCGAGATAAATCCGGACGATTTGTATTGGACGCATCATTGGCAGAAACATATTGGTACCCCTGAAATTCACTATAAAGCCGAGGAAAAATATCCGGATGACAGATATAGTGACAGGTACTCGGTTAGTAAGCTGTCAGCGAAATACTCGGACAGAAATGGCAGATATTAATTTTTGTGATAAAAAAATATTAAAACTAATTTTGCATTTCATAAATTTTATTTTGTAACTAATACAATACCTAAATAGACTGATTTTCAGTTTAGTAAACGTACTTAACTTATTTTAGGATTTATTACCTATCAAATAAATAAATGTACTATAGTATATATAACAAGCTTTATTACAACAAAAATGTTAATTTAATATAGAATTTTATTAAACAGTGTTGCCTTACTTACTAAAATAACCCAAAAATACCTACAAACTATCACCAAATGTCTTAAACAAATTGAAAATCTTCAAAAGGGCATCAGGGGAAGGGGTGCTCATATTATTATCCAAGTTGGCCCTTATAACTTTGTTGACGTCATCATCCCCAACGTCATTAATATTTTCGTCGGGAATAAAATCGTTAAAAGTTGACGTACTCGAAAAAGAATCGTGACAAGAGCTTGAACAGCAGCTTGGCGAGTGCAAACTCAAATTGAAGGGTTTTAAATTAGCTTTTTTAATACTATGTATGTTTTCCCGTGCATTGGGGTCTAAAATACCATAATAATTATTATTCTAGCCGATTTTAAATGAAATATTAGCTTACCAATATTTTCTTTATTAGAATTAAGGATTTTTTTGTATTCATCATTCCTATCCTCAGGAATAAATTCGACAACTTCAACAGAATCGTTAAAATTTGACGTGCAGCTTGGCGAATTTAATTGTTCCAAATTGTTTTTTTTCATACTTTTTGGCGCATATTCTTTATTTAAATTAATCATTTTCCTGTCATCAAGAATTAATTTTACTATATCATCCCTCCCATTTATCTGAGCGATCACAAGCGATAGTAATTCCTTGTGCTACAAAAAGATTGCTTTCAAACCTAAACCCCACAATTTTAAATTATATCACCTTTAAATTAGCCGGTAAATTTCTTTTGGTCGCCTCAGCTTGCAGCTCCCTGTAATTTAATTTCGCCATTGGATTTTTCGATTTTTTAGCGTTAATTTTCGTCAGTTTGTTATATTTAACGCGTTTATCTTTTGCCTTTTCCATTTTGAAATGCAGAGCGCATTTGAACACCGCAAAGTTTCGCGATTAAATAAAGAAATGCAAGTAAATATTTATAACACTATTTAGGGTATGACGCATTTATAAAAAAACTAAAAGATTATTATTCGTAGAATCATTCTGGAGGGATTATACTGTTATATACAGTATGTTTTGTTTATATAAAATAACACGATTTTATTAAATATTTTGAAGGTGGCTGAGATTTCAAATTTAAATTACATAAAACTGTACTTCGGTAAAGTGCTAATAGATGGCGAAAAACTCAAGTTCAAATTTTACCGCTTTATTGCGTTATTTTGTAATGTTTTTATGTATTTATATTTTAAAAACATTTTTAATTAGTACTACTCATATATATATTACTGATAGATATATGCTATTACTTTTTCTTTGGATTGTCGATTTATTACCAACCCTCTAACAACCACAGATTATAACTAACAACTGTCAAACGTTAAGTTGGTAATAAAAGTACACCCTCCTGTCGTAGTTTTGTCCTTTCCCTCATTCACAACAAAAACCAATTAAAAAAAGCGATTTACACTACATAAATAATCAGGACATGTAAGTGCAATTGGGAGAACCCTGATTGTTGTGCTTCAAAACTACACAGAATAATTACCACTGAAAAACCTATTTGTTTTATGCGGCTAATTAAATAAAGTGAATCATTACTTGACTACTAATTAACGTCGAGTTCATTAGTTTATTTGCATTTTGATAACGTCCAAAATTTGGAGGTGCAAACCTGTGATTGCCGGCGTTGTTTCAAAACTGAAAAATAGTGTTGTGGTTATGTTATTATAAATCTTTATTATGTTAAGTTTTGCTGTAGTTTTAAGCATTTTTTATTAAAATTGATGATAAATGTGTCAAAGTCCAGCAAACTTTAGACTGAGCTGGCAGAAAAGTGAAACAATCACGGATTTATTGCACTTGTTGAGGCCCCATGGGGGTTGAAACAAATGCAGTCCGAGAAGGACTGCGGCAACTATGGGTAACTGCTTCACCAGTTGTATACCCCGATCTGATGCTTCCAAAACACTGCGGGGCCTTAATTTACTCAACAATCAAAACAGCGATGTGGAGTTCACTTTTCTCGTGGAGGATGTAAGTTTTTCAATTGATTTTCGAGTGTGTTGCAATTAATGTGTTTTTCAGAATAATTCAACTTGCGGGGATAAAAAAAGGTAATTATTTGATTGGTTCGATGCAGTTTGTAATTTTTATAATGTGAATTTCATGCTGACTTGGGGATATCTAGGAGTTTTTTATCTAGATTTTTTAAGCAAAGGAAAGATTGCAATAAGGTAAAGTTCACTTTATGATGATGAAATGGAAGCTCATTTTACTTAAATTTGTTTGTTGTAATTTCCAATAATTGTTGTTTTTTTATTTTTTATCTTTTAGAAACCAGTGTTGGAGTTGGTTGATGGTCTTTTAAATCCTCAACTAACTGCTTACAGTAGACTTAATGAATCACAGCGCCTTCCCTCCACAGGGTAAGTAAAATTTTTTTTGTTTTTTTCTTTTCCTGTTTAATAAAAAAAATATTTTTATTTGTACACCTAAATGTAGATACCTACAAATAACAAAAACACAATTTTTTTGGTATTTTAAACTCATTTTTGTTTAGATAAGTGACTTGTACCAGGAAAAACAATTAAATTTTGTAAAATAGTCAATATATTACCAAAAAAACATTATGTTTATCAGAAAATTACATTTTTCTCAATATTGGTTATTTTTTAAGAAAATACGCTAAAGAAGCATCGCTAGTAGCGCCACCAAGTGGCCGTTATGTCAAACGCGTGTTTTTGAAAATAAAGCCGGAAAATGTTAAAAATATCGGTTTCCCAATATACAGTGAAAATTCGAATGAAGAATAAATTGCTTTCAGTCCCTGTAAATATAAATTGAACCTTTTAGATAAAATAAATACAAATTGTACCTAGTGAAAATTGTAAACATTTTGATTCAGTAAAAATCATAAAACAAATAAGTCGTCTAAATTCAAACATTATTTAGCATTACAAATCAAATGAACAGCAACGAAGATACAGCGATTCAAAGTCGTCAAAAATGACCACTTTTCAGCAAAATAATCAAAAAGGGGCCATTTTTACCAAGTTTGAAGCGCTGTATTTTTGTTACTGTTCGTTTAATTTGTACAAAATTTTCAGGGTATACTAACAAAAATACGGTCTTTAACAGCATTGGTTGCAAAAATGATGGCCAACACTGTATATAAGCATATAAGCGTTGAGTTTCTTAATAATAATATAAGCGTTGAGTTTCTTAATAATAAATCGAAATTGAGTAGTAAACAAAAGTTTTTTAGTTTTTACTTGCAACGCTATACACAAACAACGTGCGCGATTTAGCAGTGCAATTGAACAAAATTTGTCGAGTAAGACTTCTGCCTTCCTCTTTTGTGAAAAAAACCAATTAGGTATTTATTTAAAAATGATGTGCAGTTCGTATGCTTTATATGTATTGTTGATAATTCTTGAATTCACACAATGCTATCGAACACCACCAGATGGCGCGCGCGCTGTTTCTTTAGCGCATTATTGATTATGATTTTTCTCACTTTTCTTTCAACAAAAATAAAAAATTCTTTATTGTAACTTATATAAATTTTGTTTCATTATGACTATGAAATAAATAAGTAAGACCTCAAAAATTAAAACCGTAATTTTAGATCTTGTACAAGTCGCGACATTCAGCTGCAATGTCTCGATGCGCGCGCTCTCTTGGCAAGAACCGCAACTTCGACTCCGGCCAGCTCATTGGACCTGGAATGGGAACACGAAACCCTTCCAGTATCCATGATACACGACCCATCCGGAAGCTCATGGTAGGCAACCCCAAAACACAAACAATATGATTTTTTTTTTAATTTTTCTACCCTGAAAATGCCATTCCTAATTTTTTATTGAGTTTTTCCTAAATATATTTATATATATATATATATAGAAATATAGCATTTCTATCTACTTTAGTTTAAGTCATCCATCATTTTTGAAATTTTATTTTTTTATTCACCCTGGGTTTACCCAGAGAGCCATATCAGGTTAAAACTTGGCCAATAATTGCCCTTTCACCTTTGGAAAGGTTTTGCCAATAAATGTACAATATAGGATTTAATATTCCTATGATTTTTGTGCAATCGCGATGGCCAACAATAAATCATCAAATTGTGCCCAGTAATATGCAAAAGCAGTTTGGATTAAGTTAGGTAGGTTACCGTTGGTTTAATTTTGGGAATGTTTGGGCATGGAACGATGACAATTTTTTATGTTTATTTGGGCAAATATTAGGCTTTTGAAAAATTGACCATGACATGATATTGGTAAATTAATTTTTTTGCGACGCCCCCTAAAAAGCTTCCTTTTGATGAAAAAACACTGGAATTTTTTTTTAATTAAAAACAACACGTGCCTCAAGACGATCTAAGTTTTTTTTTGGTATAATCATCTTTTCTGAAAATATGGAATAATAATATTTTTGAGATTTAAATCTATTAACAATGAAATACTTCACCTTGGAATAAAGAAATCTAGATATTAAAATTACGTTTGTACTAATTTAGTTTTAAAATAAAAATATCAATTTGAATATCTTTCTTTTTTTTATTTAATAGACCAAATCAACTGGAAAAAATTTTGAATTTAAATTTTTGTCCATTGTTATTTCGATTAACTATTGTTTTTTATTGATTTGGGTTCTATAATTGTTTATATTTAGAATAAAATTTTATTTTTCATAAAAAATTCCCAAAAAAACATGATTATGCCAAAAAATTAACTTGAGGCGCGTGTTGTTTTTAATTAAAAAAAAATCCCAGTGTTTTTTCATCAAAAAGACCACCCTAATTAATATATTTAAAACAATATTACTAAAAAAGCTTTTTCTCGTTTACATTAAAATCTATTAATTTAATTAGGCACAGAATACAATTAAAAAAAATTGTATTTAATTTTTTTAATTATAATAAAAAAATATTTAAAAAATTAAAAATTTGTTAAATAAAAGAAAAAGAAATAATTAAAAAATATTTTAAATAATAAAAATTGAAAAAAACATTAAGAACTTATTGTAAAATTGTTTGTGATTGGTAACTTTATATGTTATGAATAACTTCTAAAATAAAAAAATATATTAAAATTCAATACAAAAATTACAATTACCTTGCTCACTTCAGGCACAATACATCTTTAAACCCAATAAATCCTCTTTTTCCTCTGTGACATATGTAGGTAGAAAATTTATTTAAATTGTCCTGCTTGTACACTATTTACCTAGAAAAAAGGCAGTTCTTTTTCTTCACTGCAACTTTATACAATGAGATGAAAATCTGTAAGAATGAACAAAAAATAAGTACATAATATATAACTACCAACGTACCTATAACTCGCTATTGCGCATAGTAAACTGATTCTTTTTCCAGGCTGATCAATTATTTGCCAAGTTTCGATCAAACTGCATTACAAACGCTTTGGCAATTTTCGACCAAACTTCATTACAAACGAAGTTGGACTAAAATAACTCTACTTAAGTCTTTATTTTCATGCAGTTTTTGTGCTATCGCTTTGGGAAATGATTGGCATAAAATATGTCCATTTTTGGTCAAACTTAATGAAAATACAATTTATATGTCCAAATAAATAAAATATCGTACACCAAACTTTGTTATCCATTTTTGGTCAAACTTAATGAAAATACAATTTATATATCCAAATAAATAAAATATCGTACACCAAACTTTGTTATCCATTTTTGGTCAAACTTAATGAAAATACAATTTATATATCCAAATAAATAAAATATCGTACACAAACTTTGTTGGGAAAAAGTTTACTAATTTCTTTCCCAAAGTGACATCTTAGGCTTGTTTTTAAAAAAGTAGGTGTAATAGGGATGCGCATCGAATATTCGATGTTCGTCAAACATCGATTTTAATGAAGTGAATATCGATTTTTTAACATCGATCTTGTATTTTCGATGTTTTAATGACATCGATGTTAGACTTTGCGATGTTACTGTATATCAAATTAAATTTTGTCAACTTTATAATTGTCTAAATTACTGTTTCTACAGAACTTGGATAGGCAAAATTGGGATTACTTAACTTTTTTTGACTGATAATTTAGGTTTATTTTGTTTTTAAATGAAAAAAAGAGAATTTAAGTTTATTTTGTTTATTTTTTATGTGTATTTTTTTACAAGTTGGAAATAAAATATATTTTATACATGTTTTTCTTAGACTTGTGTTTTAGTTTGAAACATCGATTTTTTGGAAAAATCGATGTTTTCTACCCGATATATCGATGACATCGATATTCAACCTTCGATGTCAACATCGATGCCAACATCGATGTTTTTGTATTCGATGCGCATCCCTAAGGTGTAACAAAACTTTTTTCTTGGTTAGGACGGCCCTTCCGGAAGACTACTCGCAACCTGCGAGCATTTCAAGCCCGCAAAACACGGCGGCCGTGCATAACAACAACAGCGACTCCGATTGGTCGCGCGTTTCCTCGGCCAACTCGCTGGAGTGGGACAACGTGCAAAACTCCATGCACGCCGAAGCGGAAGTGGATACGGACACGCAATTTTTGCTGAGCGAGATCGAGCGGCTCACCAATCAGACGCTGTTGGAAACAGGGCAGGACTTGTTCAGCTGATCATCGGAAATATTGCGAAGGTACCCTGATATCCCTATTTTTGGTTTTTCAGGTTATATGAGGACACAATTTGGTGCTTAAACAGAATAAATTACGTTATATGTGCTCCATCTCGCAACTACCGTGTCTAAGGTCGCAAGTTTCAACATGCAACCTTAGACTATAAATGGGTAGATAGATATATTTGCGAGTCCTATTTTTACAAGTAGTGTAAACGTTAGAAATCTATTATATTATGAATACAAAGTATACAAAGTGATTTACCTAACTTACTACGTAAAATTCTGGAAATACTAAAATTTGATTTTTTTTATATTTTTATCAGTTTTTGACATATTTTATTTTTTTCAAAAATTTTGAGATGGATTATTATTCGACACAAAATAATGCTCCAGCATTCCCTATGCCTAAAATGAATATTTACAGAGATATTACAAAAAATACAAAAAAAAATCAAATTTTAGTATTTCTAGAATTTTACGTAGAATTTAAAAAAACTTTCTGTTCTCCGTAAACTTCTTATGAATAAGTTAGGTGAATCACCCTGTATATTGTGAGTAAAATTAGTAAAAATCCACCAATTTTGAAAATAAAAAAAATTAACAACGAATTAAAATAAAACTTCCTTACAATTTTTAATGGTGCATATAAAAATTTGGTGGAAAAGCATTTTATTAATTGACTAAGAACTAAAATAAGACTGTAATTTATCAGAAATGGAAAATACCTGGTTGTCTTATTTTGTACAAAATACGTTTTTAACTAACTTAACTATATTGGTTATTTTTATATACTGCACTTCTAATATCAAAATTGAACAAAATAATTAAAATATTCCCTATACTAGTCCCTGTATAAATATTTTTACATTTTTTTCTTAATTTATTATTTAATTTTTCCTAAAAAATGAAAATGTTTAATTTCTATTTATACTTTACTCATTTGTCATTTTTGACAACTGTAATTTTTGACATTTGTCACAAGGTTTTTTTAAATAGCTTCTTTATTTTTATCAAATTATATAATTTCAATCTATACTTCACTCTAAGTCATTTTTGACAACTGCATTTTTTGACATTAGTGACATTTTTATGAATTTTTGTATTATTTTCAGGACTTTCCATGGTTTTGATACGTTTTTTTTTAATTTTGTTTTATTTTTTTATTTTTGTTTACTTTCTTGCCTTTTAACATCTCCTTTATCATGTCAACAATTTTTTTATATAGTTTTTTTTATCTTTATCAAATTTTTGCTAAAAAGTGGAATTATAGAATTTCAATCTTCACTTCACTGTAAGTCATTTTTGACAACTAGTTTTTGACATCTGTCACAATAATTTTAATGATTTTTTAAAGGATTATTTGTTTAATTTTGATTTTATAAATTTTTGTTTGATTTTTAGGATTCCTTATGTAAATAATTATTCACACAACATTTTGACACGGTTATTTTGTCATTTTTACGTTTCTTAATTTTTTATTCTTACAATCTTTTTCGCATTTTCTTATTTTATTATCGAATTTTCGCTAAAAAATTAATATGTTAAATTTCTGTCTATCTTTACTTTGTCATTTTGACAACTGAAATTTTTGACATTTGTCACAAGGCACGGCAGGCCTGAAACCAGTCTATATTGACCGGATTAGCACCACGTTTTTTATGACATATTTCGAAAATATATATTAAAATAAACTTAATCACCCGTTTATATCAAAATTACCCGAGCCGTTTAGTGAGAAATCGAACTTTAGGGCAAAAAATCACGAAAATAATTAAATTTGCTTGCAAAGCATTTATTAAGGTTATTAAGAGTTATAATGACATTATAAAAATCAAAATCGAGTCCTCCGTGCGAAGAGATTTTACTATTTTTCCGTCAGGTGGCACTACAACGAAAAGCCATCTGTCAAACTGTCCACTTTACGGACATAGTTGCTGAACTACACATTGAGCTTATACGCTGCCGAATAGTTTATTGTCAAATTCTGTACCTTACAACAACAACTTTAAAATGATGTATGTGAAAACTCATGCTGGGACCCATGAATAAAATCGCGAGTTTGATTGTTATGTTTCAAAAAGGAGGCGGATATGCGAAAAATTACTGGAACTCTTCAGAGCGCGGTTCAGGACATTTTTCCTTTTAATCCTGAAGACAACCCCCTTCCACTCGTGACTCAAATGCTGTGCTTGCAAAATATATATTTACCGAAAAAAAGGATCCGAATTCGTCTGCTGTTCAGATACTCAATTTCAACATTTCCTTCTTTACCAAAACATACAAGGAAAAAATATAAAATAAAATGTCAGTGCAAATTATGTTCGTACACTGGGACATTAGAATTTTATACAAAAAAATATCAGTGTCAAGAAAAAATTTGCTAAGCAATGTGCAAGGTGTAAAAAATATTGCAGAAAGGACTAGCACATTTTTGGTATAAAACGCACAATTAAGCAAATCTAGTAGAGTCATTTCAATCAGAATTGCCTCCAAAAGTACAGGAACATTTATTAACTGATCTGATTAAAAATATAAGCAATATCAATATTCAAGAACTCGGTGCTGAAATGCACTTATCTCGACGCCATGGTAAACCTCCGAAATAATAATACAAAAAACGAGATAAACAAATTCGTGCAAAAGAGGTTTTAAAGATTGGAACAGATTTTGGACATTCAACAAATACTGTGGTGGGTGTAGCTGCGGTTCTTCGTACTTCGGACCGAGAAGAAGAATAAGGAGACCATCGCTACGAAAAGTTTATTGCAGAAACATTGATGGAAAGTCATTAAAAATAAAAAAGATACACCTTGCACATTGCTTGGCAACTTTTTTCTTGACACTGATATTTTTCTGTATAAAATTCTGATCCCAGTGTTCGTACGAACTCGCATAATTTGCACTGGCATTTTATTTTATCTTGTTTCCTTGTATGTCTTGGTAAAGAAGGAAATGTAGAATAATCGGCTGAACAGCAGATGAATTCTGATCCTTTTTTTTTCGGTAACTAAGTATTTTGCAAGCATTACATATAAGTCGTGAAAGACGGTTGTCTTCAGGATTAAAAGGAAACATGTCTTGAACCGAGCTCTGAAGAGCTCCAGTAATTTTTCGCATATCCGCCTTCTTTTAAAAACATAACTAGCAAACTTTTTCGATTTTTTTAATGGGTCCAAGCTTGAGTTTTCACATACATTATTTAAACGTTCATTATTATAAGGTTCAGAATTAGACAATAAACTATTCTGCAGCGTAAAGCTCAATGTGTAGTCCGTAAAGTAAACAGTTTGACAGATGGCCTTTCGTTGTGGCGCCACCTCACGGGAAAATAGTAAAATCTCTTCGCGCGAAGGAATCGATTTTGATTGTTATAATGTCATAATGACTCTTATTTAGTAAACCTGATTCATTTTCAAGTAAAATTATTCATTTTTTGCTCTAAATTTCGATTTCCGACGAAACGGCTCGGGCAATTTTGCTATAAACGGGTGTTTGAGCTTATTTTAATATATATTTTCGAAATCTGTCATAAAAAACGCGGTGCTAATCCGGTCAATTTAGACTGGATTTAGACCTACCGTGAAGGTTTTTAATGACTTTAAACGATTTTTTTAATTTTTGAATTATTTTATTATTTTTGGTATATATTATACACTGTTTTTTAAAGTTTTGATTGTTTTATTTAAGTTTTTTATTTTTGTTTACTTTCTTGCCTTTTAACATTTCCTTTTCCATAACGTTTTTATAAATAGTTTTTTTATTTTTATTAATTTTTTGATAAAAAGTGGAATTATGGAATTTCAATCTACACTTCACATTTGTCATTTTTGACAACTGCAGTTTTTGACATCTGTCACAAGGATTTTTATTGATTTTTTAAAGATTTTTAGTTTAATTTTGATTTTATACGTTTTTGTATCCTTCTTAGGATTTTCCATGGATTTACACGGTTATTTTGTGATTTTTGCGTTTCTTTTTAATTTTTTTAATATTTTTTCATAGGTATTTTAATTTTTTTTTCTTTAAAAAGTCAACTGATTTTTTTAAATAGTTTTATATTTTTATTTAATTTCTATCAACACTTTACTCATCTGTCATTTTTACTTCTGTAATTTTTGACATTCGCTAAAAAGTGAAAATATAGAATTTCTATTTACACTTTGTAATTTTTCACAACTTCAATTTTTTCATATTTCCTTTACCATGTCAATTTTTTTTTAAATAGTTTCTTTATTTGAAGGGTTTTAAAATATTTTCATTCATTTTGATTTTTATAAAAAAAATATATTATTCTCCATGGTCTTCTTTATAGAATTTGAAGTTTTTTTAACATTTCCTAACCATTTTAGGTAACTAATTTTTTTTAACTAAATTTAAACAACAAACATATACAGGGACTTTACTAACTAAGGGGGATCTTGTTTAGAACCTAAAATAAAAATTAAAAACTTAATTTTTATTTATCTAAACCTGGTTTTAACTAGTGTTGCAACGGTTACGGTTACGGTTACGGTTAATTCACGGTTTTCGATATTATACGGTTAACCGTAACCGTATACGGCATTTACGGTTTTTTATGCTACTTTGTGAATGCATGTAAAAAGAAAATTGAAGAGTATTTAACGTTACCAAATATACCACATACGTACGTCAAATCCGTCTACATTCTCGAAAACGTGTTACACGTTTCATACAAACCATTGTCAGTGAATTCGGAGAGGTTGTTTTCGACTGCAGGTCTTGTGCAAACACCAAATAGGAACAGGCTGATTCCGCAGAATTTGCAGATGTTATGTTTTTGAAATAAAAATTTGACTCGTAAATTTTGAATATTAACTTTTAATTTTTTTAAATATATTATTCAGGTACCTACTTTAATTTTTTTAGGTTAAAAATGTTACTCATTTCCTTTTATTTTATAGTTTTATTAGAAATTCTGTTTTTGTTTTACATAAATTATTATTTAACCTTTAATGAACGTGTGTATTAATTTCATTTTGAACAATAAACTTTACTTTTCGTAATTCTGTAATTTTTTTTGAATAACCGTGAATTTATTCGTAACCGTAGAGCTAACCGTAACCGTAAAACCCGAAACCGTTGCATCACTAGTTTTAACCTTAACCAAACATAGCAAAAAAAGTAGTAATTTTTATAAATAAATGAACTATAAATAGTTAAAAATAGTATATAAAAATTGTTGTTAGGTAATTAGGTTGTGTAGATACCTGTTCCACCCATAAAATGGTTGTGTTATTTTTTGTAGTTGTTTCATTGGTTGAGCCATGTTTTATTATATACAGGATGCCCCGAAAATGGCGCAACAGGTGCCGTTTTTGGGGCATCTTATATTATTGCTTTTTGACGTAGTTTATATACTTTTAAACTAAAAGTTAGGAGTGATGAAATCTAAAAAAGCAATTTTGGGAAATTGAAGGCAAAAACTGCATAGGTGGGACCAAGATTTGCTTTTAATAGTTGAGGCCTTTGAATTGCAAATAAATAAATATGCTTAGACATACCATACTGAAATCAATTATATTGAATGGCTTTCACAATATTATGATTTTTTATAGTATACCCCTGTAAAATTTACATAGGTGAGATAGTCTTTGGAATGCCTTAAAATTATATTGGTATGGTTTTAGGGCACATGTTAAAAAATTGTTTATTTATTTTTACTGTTATTTGGCTTATTATATAGATTTAACTATTGTTGTATATACACCCTACATCTCATGCGAACATATCACCCCCTTAGTCAAATAAAAAATAAAATTAATAATTGTATTTTATTTGTCGTTTCTTTTTAATTTTCATACCCCTTTGTTTGCTTTAATTAATTAAAAATAAAAGCTAAAATTAAAACAAAAAAGTGCATTAAACAATGTATTTCTACAGTATGTCCACACATGGGGAGCCCAATATACAGGGTGGTAACGTTATTAAAAAATATTTATACATATTTTTTTTAATTTCAAAAATTCCTTGGCCGAATTTAATAAAACTTTTTGAGTTTTAAGTAATTGATGAAGGGCTTAATTTAACGTAATTAAATTTAAAGTTAATCCAGAGGCGGCGTTGGGGCATCCCAACTAAATATTTAAAAATAAAATTTGGGGAAGCAGTAGCTTTTTCATAAGTTAAATTATATTTTTAGATTAATTAGTAAAAAATAAAACTTTTATAATCTGCATCTTAATAATAATAATAATTTTTTCAAAAAATAAAATAAAATTTCTTTTTTATTTGCGCGCCCCTGAAAAAAATATGGTTATAAGCAGATAAATGAATTTAATTTTTTTCTTGAAAATAAAGAAAGACGGAGAAAAAATTCAAGAGACAAAAAAATTGTATTTTTAATTGCTTAATCGAAATGACAACTGTCAACTAACTTAAAGCTAACTTTAGCCCGTGACATAAAGCCACAACTTGTCAATGGGTATTTAAAAGTTTCATGGAAACCTGTATGATAATGGGCGTTTTAAAGGTGGGAGTGGAAAAAAACTTTTTTGTAAAATGACTCATATTTTATTAATCAGTGACTTACAAACAAAGAAATGGTTAAAAAATTACATTCAATACATTTTTCATACATATCTGTATCTACAAAAACATAAATAATTTGTTTAACAATTTAAGTCTTGATGATTTTGCATATAATGAGAAACAAGTAGTTAACAATTTATCAACTTAATGTGAATTACAGTGTGCAAATATAAAAATAAGAAATTTTTTCCAACATTAAATATAAATATACTTATGTATAATGAAATGCTACTTATATTGTATCATAAAAATAAGGGTGTGAATTTTGTGGGAAAACGTGAAAATTACAAAAATATCCAAATTTTTTACCCTGTTGTTATATAAGTATCATTTCAAGAATTATGAATAGAGATAAAAATGAGATTCACGGCGGTGTACAAAAAATTATGACTGAAAGATTTTTTTTTAGTTTGCATTCTGTCCCAGGTAAAAACGTTTAAAAAACTTAAATAAAATTACTCATGTGGCCACTAACATTGAAATTATTATTGGGGAACACAATTAAACGCAAAAAAAAACTGAAACAATATTTAGTATTATTATTTACATAATACAACCCCAATATTATTTTCAATTGTATATGTGGAACACTAAAAGCATAGTCAGTCAACGCTTACTCGTATTTTTGACGGTTTTTGTTCTTCGACTCCAAAACTTTTACTTTCTGCCGCCAGAGGTCGTGATCACGGCGCACCCCGCCGTGAACACGGACCAAAGCAGAAGGGTGGCCTCGAGGTGGCTGGTGACGTAGCGAACGGAGTCCAGCACCCGTTTCCACAGGGGATTCACCGGCTGCTTGGATTTGCTGGGCAGAAGCGCGCGCGCGTTAAGGTAGTCGTGCAGGGTGCTGGAAGAGGCGCTGTAAGCGGGGAAGTACTCGCCTACTTTGGTCCTCGTCCACCAGGTGGACTGCGATCTAAAAACGTTATTTTATTGACGTATAACTGGACAAAAATATTAAAATACAGGGTGTTATGTAATTAATGTTATATATTAAAATACTGAATACCTTTTGACATAAGGAATAAAGGAAAAATATTTAAAAAAACATTTTTCCAAAGATAAAGAAAAAATATGCATTAGAAGTTTTTTATATTTTTTGTGATACGCCACTGGTTACACACTTGTTTATCTCTGCACACCTGTATTTTGTGAGTACATAGATACCAACCAACAAAGTAGCTATGCGTTGCCAGATGTAAAAAATTGTTACTAAAAATTTTTCTTGCAAAAAATAAATAAAAACTCAATAAATACAAAAGTTTATGCCCTTAAAGCTCTAATACCCTTCTGTATTTATTTACTGATCCAGCTATTAGCTTAAGCAATGATTAGAAAATTTAGTACCTTTGAAATTTGAAATCCATAACCACAAAATTAATTTTTTCATCAGTTTTTTCTCTGTTTACTCAGATGAAATTGGGACCAGTTCACAAGTTAAACTTTAAACATTTAATTTATGTAAATAAATCCAAAAGCACTTCCCTTAGTTAAGATATTTACAATTTGAAAACATAACCTAAAATTTAAAAGAAATGCACTAGATTCTGTCATAAAAGTTGGCAGATTTTGTTTGAATTTCAGTACAAAAATGAAATAACCAACAATTAATAAAAACGCCAAATTGACAATTTGCATTGTTAATTTAGTCATTTTTGTAATTAAGCTAAATTTAAACAATGTTTGTCAACTTTTTTGAGAGATTTTGGAAAAACTGTTGTTACCAACCATAACATAATAAATCCACCAGATTAACCTAAAGTTCCTAGTTGATCAGTGGCGTACTTTTTGGTAGGATAAAGGTTATTATAAATTATTTTTAGACTTTGGAATTTAGAAAAAAAAAGTTTCAGGTGCTTCTTTATGGACCCTAAGGAACAACCCATTTTAATATATAACATTAATTATATAACACCCTGTATATTAAAATTTTTATTTTAATTTAATTTGACAATTGTCAAATGAAATTAAAATGAATTCGTAAACGGGAACGTACTTTTGATTCCACTGCGTGTACTTGTACTTGTAGAGGAGGGCTCTGACGTATTTGGGCGGGCTTTTGACGAAAGGCGAATGATTTCTGTCGAGCAACGACAAAACTTCGGGCTGACCCAGAAGAATGCGGTGCGTCAGAGAGAGTAACCATGGTTGTTTGTCGTACGTACTGTAAGCGGCCCAGTACATCTGCCAGTCCAGTCTTGGCGAATACGGAGCTGGCAAAATGAAAGTTAAAAATGTACCGTACATATAATATATTATAATTATTATATTATAGTGTTGTTCTCTATCTACCCACTCTTTAGTCTTTGGTAAAATGATAGAAAATTTAAACAGAGTGGTGAGATGGACAAGAGTTTTGATAATTTTTTGATTTTATTTTGATGATTATTTTCTACAATATTTGTCAAAATTAATCATTGATTTTCTGTTCTTTACCTCAAGCTTGATTAAATTATAAATGATTTTAATTTATACGATTTTTGTCAAGTAATTTTTTTAAATAGTTTTTTAATTATTTGTTAAATTTTAAAATTTAGCATTCCTATAGATATTAGGGTGTTTCATTTTTAGGCGATATTTTTTTTCTTTCTGTCCTACCTAAAAATCTGATAATTTATATATAAAAAATATAATTCCGTTGGAAAAAAAATTCTAAGTAAATTAGAGGCTTCACTCTTTCAAAAATTCGATTTCCCATATAAATTACACGGGAAAAAATTTTTTTCGGCTACAACTCAATTTTTTGGCGTTTCAAAATTTTTTTGGAAAAAATGAGTATGCAGCTTTTGTAGGGAATCAAATTTGCTACAAAAAAGTTCCCTTGAGCAAACGCTTTCCGACCAACAGTTTTTGAGTTGTAGAGCTGGAAAGGTAAATGTTATAATGTTAATTAATTTGGGCCTGAAGTTATTGGCCAGTATATGTATTTGGAAAACACAACGTAAAATCAGCTTACAAATATGAGACCGGAGGCAAAATTCAACAAACTTTTTCCAATTTTGTTCTTTAAAAGTTTGCATACGCCTTTATTTTTACCTATCAATAAATTTCAATTTAAAGGAAATTTGTTGTTAATTAACATTAACATTTACATTTACCTTTCCAGCTCTACAACTCAAAAACTGTTGGTCGGAAAGCGTTTGCTCAAGGGAACTTTTTTGTAGCAAATTTGATTCCCTACAAAAGCTGCATACTCATTTTTTCCAAAAAAAATTTGAAACGCCAAAAAATTGAGTTGAAGCAGAAAAAAACTTTTTCCCGTGTAATTTATATGGGAAATCGAATTTTTGAAAGAGTGAAGCCTCTAATTAACTTAAAAAAAATTTTCCAACGGAAATATATTTTTTTATATATAAATTATCAGATTTTTGGGTAGGACAGAAAGAAAAAAAATATCGCCTAAAAATGAAACACCCTAATAGATATATCTACACTTCATACAAACATTTTTTTTGTTGGTTATTTTTCAGTATTTTAAGAGAACATTTAAATACATTTTTTTACGAATCTAGGGTTTTTCTATTTTTTAAAAGTTGAGTCAAATTTTTAAAAATGTATAATATCAGTACAATTTACTATCAAATACTATTTAAATAAATATAAATAAATAAAATAAATAGGTTTTATTAATTCCTTATAAAGGTGTATGGCCACAATTTTCCATCATCCATATTTGTGTACTTAAAAATGCTTTGCTAAAATAATTCTAAAACATAGCTCTTGGTAATTTAAATTAATTTAAAAAAATAATTTGAATTAATTAACACAGGCCAAAAAAAATAAAATTTCTGTTTGGTGCATGGCAACCAACAACTTTTTAAGGGTAATTTGGGTACGCTGAATCCAAAAATGAACATAATTTTGCTCAATCAGCTCTTGTTTTTGCGATGTAAAAACCATTTTTTTCGATATGCGCACATTCAAATTCTTATATATATTTTTTTAAACTTCTAATTTAAGCAAGGATAGTTGGTAATAATGCTATGGGTTTTTATTAAACTAAAAAAAAAATACCATATACATTGATAATGCCATTCTCTTTAAAAATCTTGCTTTCATCGAAAGAAAATCGGAAAGTGATAAATTTTTGTCCGATTTAAATAGTGTTAAAATTTCAATGCAATCAAAAATTGAATTAGAGTAGTGCTGCCGTGCTCAGCTAAACCCCCGTATCTGCAATATTAAATAAAAGATCATTTTCATTGTTAAAAATAATAAAAACTATCTTTTGTCCTTTATTATTTAATATTGCAGATACGGGGGTTTAGCTTAGCACGGCAGAGTGTATGATAGTAGAGTATTGAGAGCAGCAGCAGATACTCTACTCATACTCTCATACACTAAAACTAATAGAAAAAAACAATAATATTTTTGACATCTTTTTATTAGACATACCTACTTAAAATCAGGTCTAAAATCCTAGGCACAAAAATTGTCCACTTAAATAGTCTCTGTGAATATTAATAGCTATTCACGGAGTTTATTTAAGTGGTACACGTAGTACCCAATTTTGGTTGATTGTATTGAAATTTTATCATTATAAAGAAGATAAATAGAGCTACAAATAGGGTAAATTTTATTTAAATCGGAAAAAAATTGATCATGCTGTATCACTTTGAATTTTAAAAATTTCCGAATTTTGGCTAAAAAATCGGTTTTCTTTCGATGAAAGCAAGATTTTTAAAGAGGACACCATTATCAATGTATATGGTATTTTTTTTAAGTTTAATAGCAACATTACCAACTATCCTTGCTTAAATTAGAAGTTTAAAAAAATATATTTAAGCATTTGAATGTGCGCATATAAAAAAATGGTTTTTTGTTACATCGCAAAAACAAGAGCTGATTGAGCAAAATGATGGTCATTTTTGGATTCGGCGTACTCAAATTACCCTAAAAAAGTTGTTGTCTACCCTGCACCAAAATGGCTGTCGGCCAGTGTAATATATGTAAATATAAGCAAAGCATTTCTAACAACAAAACTAATTCTTGCAATTTTATTATACCTAACTTTGATTATTATATATTTTTTAGGAAAGAATATCAATTTTTTATGTAATACCATAAAAACAAATATAATAAATTGTTGCTAAATTAGTTTGTTTTTAAGAAGTATTTCATTGATTTTCTTTAAAAATGTGGTGGTGGCATTAAAATATCACCCCAGGATGAAGAAATATTACTTTAAAATATTGTTATAAACCACATAAAAACATATTTAATTTGAAGTTGTACTTGGGTCTTCATAAAATATTAAAGCCTTTACTCAGGAGATAATAGTTTTAACATTATTTTAAACCAAAGCAATATTGTATATACTACAGCAAAAATGTTTTAATTAAAATAATACGCTTACATGCTAACTAGCTTTATGGAGGTGTCAGAGGAGGATTTATGAAAGCTGTGACAACCTCATTAAAGCAATTAAAATAAAACCTTTAGGTTTAATTATCGATGTAACAGCGCATTAAAGTACAAACAGCTTTAAGAAAAAAATCCACTCACCGACATACGGCAGCGAATGGTTGACGTTTCCGGGTTTGTAGAGGAAGTTGAGCTCCTTCCAGGGCCCGTCGATGTCGTCTCCCCCCTCCAAGACCACCTCCATGCGTCCATCCACCCCCTCCATCTTAGAGAACAAACCGTATTGGTTCACGGCGTGTAACTTGTGCAACCTGCTGTAGATGGCGCGCACTTGCGTGTGTACAGTCGTGTTCGATGTTTTGTGCAGCGACGCCAGAGGCACAGTCGTGGACAAAAACAACGAGAGCACTATTGTGGAATACACCAACGTTTTGATGAGGCTCAGAACTTTGTTCCCTGTACCATCAAGACTGCTCAGCAAGGCTTGTACGATTGTTACTCCCAAAGATGCGGCTCCAAAGTACACAATGTAACTTAAACCTTTGCTGACAACCTCCTCGAACTGTACTTTATTGAAGGCAACGTTCGAGTCGATGGTTGTACCGTTGATTTTTAGGTTATATAATATTACAACCCCGTATAGTAAAGCGCCGTGTATGAAAACGTTCGATATTTTTCCGATAATGTTCCACTTGCTCATGGAATGTTTTCTTCCGTAAAAGAATTGATCGTCAAGTAGCGAAATCATCAGTGTTACCATTAATAGGTTAACAAAGTTGAAATTGCCAGTCAAAACGATGCAAATCTGAAGGAATATCTGTAAAGAAATATTATTTTCAGATTTACAATTTATTAAATAATTTTTTAATTCAAAATCATTTAAATGACTCGAGAAATTTAAACCAATAACTTTTATTTTTAACTAATTAAAATTGATACATTTTCAACACAAACATATTCACATTACATTTAAATGTATGTCGATAATTTTTAATTCACAAAGTGTAAACGCTGCTTTAGCTGACTGCATATGCTGCAGACTTCTAGAAAGAGACGCCGTCTGCTTAAGCGTTTACACTTTGTAAATTAAAAATTATCGACTTAAATTTAAATGTAAAGTTATAAATTTTGTGTTAAAAATTTATCAATTTAAAATTGTTAAAAACAAAAAGTTTTGGTTTGAATTTGTAAATTGCCTTTATAGGGCCTTTAGTTCATTTAAGGGCCATTATAGAACCTGTACGGTTGTGTTTGATGTATTGCAATAACCACTAGACTTACTTGAAAAACGAATCCGGTAATTCTGACGCTTCTGATTGGCACGAAAAACATAAACGGCAAACCCAACTCGCAAACATTGGCGAAAACACCGACCAATCGCAAGGACCAATGCGGTAAATGATGGACGTACCAAGATAGTGGGCTTGGCAAAGGGAGGGATTGGAACCAATAATCGAAGGCTAAAAAAATAATTTTGGAAATCTAAAAATCACTTATAAAAAAAATTACCTGTCAGCCCCCACCACTTGGGGCAGCCGCTGAGTAGTTTCGACAGACCACAGGTGAGCAAAAACCTAAAGAGTAACCATTTCACCAGCCAAAAACTGATCGCGTCGCTAAAGGATCCCTTGCTGCCTTTTCTTTTGCCGGGCAGAAGGGGTGCCACAAGGAGGGCCACGAAGCCCGCTTCCAACAGAAAATCATCACTAAAAAACGAAAAACAATTTACAGAATCGCCCTGTATGTCTGAAGACTACAAATTTATGATTTGCAAACTTCCAAAAATGATTTTTAAGTATTATTTTATTGATGGTCTTCCTCTTTAGGAAGGTAAAACGGTTTTAATACACTTTACATTTTATCTAAAGTCTATTCAAATCCAAGCTGGACTAAATGTAAACACAATCCTCCGAATCGACCAATAAGAGCTCACAATCCGAGTCACACCATCAGAATCGACCAATAGAAACGAGTTATCACTCGTCTGAGCGTTTTTGTTTAGTCCAGCTTGGATTTGAATAGACTTTATACTCTATTTTTTATATTTGGAAAAACCTACTCCTGATTTTGCAAAAATAGACAGCATAAACAAAATATAATATGAAATTTTTTCAATTTATTTATCAAGAACAAAATAAGTGAGGAGCATCCGTGCAAAACCAGCTAAATCCATTTTATTCAGTTTTTGGTTTTTTTTTTCTGATTTCGCATCTTTGGGTTTATTTCTATCGACAACCCAGATAATTCTGTTTAAATCCGACCATATCCATGTTAAAATCACATTTAAAAGGTAGCTTTAGGAGCAAAACCGGCCAAATCCACGTTTTTATAGCAAACCCGGCTATATCCAATAAATAATAATGATGATGAGCATGTGGTTTGGATATGTCGATACTACTACTAAAATTTGTTCTGTTTTTTCATGTTTGCACTAAATTTATTTTGTTAATATTTTTGAATAATAAAAGTTTTTTTTCACATTTTATTCGGTTTTCGAGCAAAACCGGCTATATACAAAACATTTTTTGAAATTTTGGCCTTAATATAAAGTTTTTGAAAACGAAAGTATGTCTTATAAATCAAGTACCACAAAGCCCACAAAACTCAAGTTTGCTTTTTCTTTTATCTGTACCTAAAGGCCAGGAAACCGAGAGTTTTTGCCATTTTCCCAACATTTTATTAAAGTGGATATAGCCGGTTTTGCACAGATGCTGCTCAAGTATAGTAACTCCAAACATGATTTTTTAAGTACCATATACTATTTATGGATGGTCTTCCTCTTTGGGAAGGTAAAACCCTTCAAATAGGCTATACATTTTATTTATGCCATCTACTTTTTATATGTGGAAAAAGCTATTCCTGATTTTACAAAAATAGATAGCATGGACAAAATTTATACTTCATCCTGATAATTTTATCCCAAAAACAAAGAAAATCATAAATAAGATATAATATGTAATTTTTTAATTTTTTTATTAAGAACAAAATAAGTATAGGGTCTTTTCATGTCAAATCGACCAGGCAAGAACGGGTAGGTCATTATTTTTCAACGAAATTTTTTTTACAGTTTCTCTACCGAAATCGATGGGACCTGTATTTTTTTTGCTTAAATTTGTTTCGTTTAACCGGAAATTTTTAAAAAATGGACAGAAACATCGATTTTTCTCTTTTTAAGAGTAAAATGCGATAACTTTGACAAAAATGTTTCGATCGTTACAATTGTAGGTAAATGTTTACTTCATACAAAAAATATATAAAAAATTAAGTTAATTAACTCAAAAAAGGCAAAAAAAATTGGGTTGAAAATTTTGACATTGCCACATTTTTTTTTGCTTCATATTTTTTTAGTTTGAACAACTTTCTGAAAAAGTCCCAAGTTGGCTAAATTCGTCGTTTTTATTTATTATTTTTTTAATGAAAATGACATTTACTAGTAAATTCGTGGTTTATCGCAAAAAAATGGTATTTTATCTAGGGTCATGAAACTAGGATGACCTTTATAAAGTCTAATTTAGAACTTTTTGACACATTTAACATATTTTTGTCACTTTTGGTTTCACCGGAAATGCTCTAAGTAAGTAAATTAAATTAGAGTAAAATGTTAATTCTTAATATTTTTGCATTTGTTACTTTTAAAAGATGTAAAAAGTATACGTAAGTTAATTTTGATTAAAATAATAAAAAGTAAGTATTACATACCTAAAAGTAATCAAATGCACATGAAACTTGTAAAAACGCGATTTCGAAGGGTTAATTAAAAGATATGAGTGAGGCAGTCGCGAAACTCATTTGACTGAGACTTTATCAGGAAAGGAAATAAGTATTAACCCTAAGAGGTCCAGAAACTAATGCGCAGGTGTGGAAATAACAAATTTTTATTTGATTTCATATTTCGTTTTTTTTTATTTATTGCCAGAGATTCCCTACAATAACCACACTATGGGGCGGTTAGATATAACTTTTTATAATCGTTTTAAAATATTTGAATGATTTTATTTAGTAGTTTTAAAACCAAAAAATGTTGAGCAATTACTTACTTTAATTCTAACTACCTTAATTATTATTTTTATTTTATTGTATAAAAAGTTTTAGCGTATGTTTTCAAAATAAAATAAATGTTAATATTCATATATTATATCACGAGAACTATGAATTTAATCGGTTAAACTAGGCTCAGTAGTTTTTTGTTTGGTTTTTCTTGGAAAATGTTGAATAATTTAATAAAATCACGAGACCGCGTAGCGGTCGAGGGGTTTTATTTTTAATTCTTTTGCATGAAACTATTTTCCAAAAAGAAAAATCAAATATAAAACTTACTGAGCATAGTTTGACAGATTAAATTTATAGGTTGAGTGATATACGTCTAGATTATTTCTCGAATTAAAGGAAATTATTTGACAATTCATAAAATCTGACGTATGTGTCAAAATTTATAAATATTTTTTTAAAGAAAATTCCATTAATTCCCAGCTGACATGGTCACGTCATATAAACGTCGATTATTGGTATATATTGGTAAATGACGTCGACGACCTTACATCGACGTCTCTACGACGTCACAACCCTTACCAACCATATACGTCATTTTGTCAACGACGCGTCGACATAACGTCGACCTAAAGTGATACAATAATAATTTTAGCAATTAATGTCGTACATTGTGGACTTTTGTTTCTTATCCTAAAACCAACAGGTACCTACATCACTTTAATTCAGGTGAAAAATTTACAAGGAGTTTATAATAATAATTATGGATCGTATCGTATATAATTTTTTTAGTTTTACTAACCAGAACACAAAATATTTCGTGTTTTGATTAGCAAAACTATAACAATTATTTACTTATTGCTAGACACTCAATATATTAGGAGTTACAAAGTATTTATTAAACTTGTAAATAAATAATAAAATGTATTTGCCGTTAAATATTTAAATTTCGCGCCAAACGCTCGTCAAAATTCGGAGCCACCGAATCGGAGGTGCTCGTGCGGGTGTGACCGAATGCCGCGCTTTTATGACAAAGTTTGTATGTTCTGTTTGCGTGTGTTAAAGCCGTGCAACAAGTGTATGCTTTTGCTTAATAATAATTATCAGTTATCAGTTAGGTAAGCAAAATTTTGTTATTTCGTTGATACTTACATACCTATATCTTTTGCGTTAAAATGTAAACAACTAAACGATGGGGGTAATGTTGAATTTGTCAGCCGGTTTCGTGCCGGCGTCATGGTCGCCATTGGGCATTTAGAAAAAGTAATGAAATAATAAGTTTAACAAGTACCTACTTATATGTATATTGGTTAATTATATTTGTTAAAGTTATAAATTAAATTTATTAAATAGTTACCTATATAATATATACCTAATGTTATTAAAACTATACCTACTGAAGTTGTAAATTACAACTTGTAATTTTTGTCTACATAGATATGGCTTTCGTAGGAGTGGAATTCTGCAAAACTGATGACGATGAAGGTGGTTTAGCACTTTTGCATTCCCTTAAAGAGAGAGCATAGTTCTCCACAGCTCTTTTAAACGCTCATTATATATTTTTATTATATTAAGAATCTTTGTTTATTATTTATTTAATATTATTTTTGTTGTAAAAAAGTTGCCTCAAATCTACAACTATCCGCATACAGTATACGTACATATGGAAACTATACTTACATATATGTACTATTGCGGCCGATAAAAAGTAATCGATTCTTTATCAAGTTGCATGTTTTTCTTAAAAATTGGCTATTGTAAGTAGGGTTTTTTACGTCAGTCCTGTCCAGTGTTGCCAGATCTCCTGTTTTAACAGGAGATCTCCTGTTTTCACTCTCGAACTCCTGTTCTACTGTTTTCACTATGAGATCTACTGTTTTTAACCTCAGTGTCTATTTTTCTGCTTTTCTACGAACATACCTTGTGGTTTGGCTAATATTTCAAATTTCAGCGTCGACGGTCCGTATGAACGGTGAATAGCATTGATTTAAATTTGCGCGGTTTTTCGTTCGTTTTGGTTCGGTTCGTTCGACTTCCTTTGAATTACGATCCCTAACCGTTCTTTACGCGTGCGCAGTTTGCGTAGTATTTATGCAACTGCGGCGCAGTTACTGCGCAAGATAGGTATAATTAATTTCGCGATTAAGTTCGTTTTAGTGCCAGTTTTGTTATTATTTTAGTTAATGATTAAACAATCATAGTGCTAATTTTGGTTTACAGTTAATTTGACCATGAGCAGGTAATTTATATATATAAGAACTTTTTTAGTAGAGTTAGTTAAATTGTTAAATATATATATAAATATATTTCAGCTCTGAGGAATATGAGAAATCACAATCAGGTGGAGAAGGCACGTCCACTCCCAAAAAAAAGAAAATAAAATACTCCCAAAAATATAAGAAAGATTGGGAAAATGATGAACAGTTTAAAGGCTGGATAAAACAGGGAAAAACAGACACGGAAGCAATTTGCACTGCCTGCAATAAAACAATCAATGTTGGTCAAACCGGCAAAACCATTCTTTTGCGGCATAAAGAAAGTGTTTTGCATATGAAAGCAGCAAAGTGCAAGAAAAATCAAATAGCACTGACTAGTATGGGCAGTTTTAAAAAGGCAAATTCACTTGAGGTAGCAGCTAAAAAAGCAGACTTGCATTTAGCAGCTTATGTCACTGAACATAATATATCTTTTAATGCTATGGAACACTTGCCAACACTAA